TTTTTTTTGCGATAACAAGTTGCTTTCAGGCCTATTTCAAAGAACATATTTTTGGTAGTTCTGTAGGTAGAAACAATTTTCTGCTGTAGTATTACAATTTGGATTTCTGTAACTCAGTGATCAGAGACAAAAAATTACATTGAATTAACTGAGCAGAAATTGGAAACAACTTGCTTCAGTACAATTTTAGCCGCTGCCATCTACTTACTCTCTCATAATGTGGTCAGCTGTGTTCCGTCTCAGGATCAGCTTCACATCTGAATGGGGAAAACTAAATTTTGAGCAAAAATTATTTTTTCAAAGAAGGTTTAAGATTTTCTTATAGTCTAATCATAAATGCTGTAATTTGTGTTTTTTCTCAGAACTTATCAGTAAAAACAAGCGGGAAGAGAAGTTTTTCAAGACAACAACATGCACCTTCTAGTAGATCTAAAACTACTTCCTTTTGTAATGAAAAACTACAGCCTCCTGAGGCATAGCTATCGTGCACATAACGCTGTATACCACTGCCACCCTGATAGAGAGGCGTCTTTATCGCAAAAGTTGATGACACAGCAATTCCAATTTATGGATGGTCTCATTGAACTTTGATCTCCATATGTTCAAGAGTATATGTCGGTAGAATAGATTCTTTTGAAAATGCTTGTTGTTAAAAGTGTTAAATGGCTACAAATAAGTAAAACTACGTTTCGTACAGTTCCTTAGAACAACCTGATGGTTAAATGCATCAGATTACAACTCATTGCTCCCTCTACGAGGAATAGAGATAGAAGCAGTTCCAAACTTAGAAGTGCTAATATAATTATGGCTTTTGAATGACCACAATAGTATTTTTTTCCTTTGCTCACCAAACGTTTTTTAGATTTATTCTCAAAAATTTGCTTCTATAAATATATTCATTTGTTTTTCTATCTGTTCCATTCTACAAAAACCAACAATTGTGGCCTCATAAATTTCCGTTTCCTTAAAGCTTAAAATCATTGAATTTTACAAGTATTTATTTTATTCTTTATTTTGCTCGTTGTTTGCTTACAGCTTTTCGCAATACTTTACGTCAGTGTCGCTTCGCCCTCTGATCTTTTCATTTCTGAATCATTTCATAAAATGTTGATATAATGCACTATTTTTGTTCTCTGTTTCGTAGTCGAAATGCCATATAGTTTAAAAATTGAGCTTATGAAATTCAAAGTGAAAAGATACTAACTTTTTGCTAAAAAGTTTTTTTGGTGTATTGAAACGAGCACAGACTTGAGTGATAAGCGCCTTGTGAAATAAGCTGTGAGTTTCACTTGGTTTCCCTGTAGCAGAAGTAAAAAAGAGACTGAAATAATTTGCAAATGAATGCTGTAGAATGAAGCCATCAACAAATATCGGCAGAATTGGTGAGAAGTGTTTAGTTTAAACACAGTTGTAGCTGAGTTATCTTGAAAGAATTCCGTTTGAATTTTTCAAAATTTACGTTTCTTAGAGTGCTGAAAGTTGCAGTAAATGTTTCGCAATTTATCTAAAAAACTTTCATTACGATCTCGCTAGGAACTGCTGATTACAATATCAGTAAATTTGATAAACTAGATCAGTAAAAGGCTGATCTTAATAAGACCTAGCATCCTCCAAGAATTATGTTCAGCCAGCAAACCAAGAGAGCTCGTGCTTTCCGTTTTCTGTTTTCAAAGACCGTACACTGGAAGTTTTAGCAGCGCATAGTACAATGCTAACATCACCTTTGCAATTGGTTACAGCTTTATGCATCAACTGAAAGATTAGATTACAGTAAATTCCTGAGCAAAGAAGCCATTTGACGTTTTTTTGGTAAGTTGTAAGGCTAATGCAAGAGTCGTGAGCAAAAAATTTGCTACGTCTGGTTCAGAACAGTTGCTGTAGTGAAAGATTCATCGCTTAATTATGACAGTTCACTGTTCATCGCGTTCGTTTGTTTCAAGGTCTTTATAATAACAATGAATTCCCTTCTACTCTATTGTGTGACTTTGAGCTTCATTTAATTTTTTATTCACTATGCCATATTTGGTTTGTTTCTCAAAAGTTATGCTATGACAGATTTTTGTCTTGCTTTTAAATTATTTGCTTGAGAAGCCGCCGATAAAAAAACGTTTTTACTAGTAACCATTTAAAATCTGGTTAAAAGGTCTTTTCTACATAAAACTGAACAGGTCATTTTGGTTCATGACGAAATCCAAGCAGATCACTGACAGAAGAACATTCCTTTCTTCCGGTCTTGATACTCACTTTAAATTTACCGGACTAGAAGCAACGAGTTGTATAAGATCTTTCCTTCTGTAGTTGATGAGCGGCTTCTAAGCGTCAGTGGAAATCAAACGAGAGCGAGGAGCAATTAATGCTGTCAGTAGACACCTGGAGGTAACTGCTAGTGTAAAGAAGTTTATTCAACGGATATTCTTGTGCGGATTGTCAGATAGAAGAAAAATGGGGAAAATTGCAAGTACAAGTTGGCTTAGTGTTCATCATCGATTTTATTTTCCAGACCACTTCTTGTGATAAAAGACCGTGTCTGTTAAATAATCTGAAAAGGTCAATAAAGTCGCTCAACAGAATTATCCATTTGAAAACGTCTTCAACATTTCACCTGTGTTTGAAAAGGGTCATCTTTCTGATTAATTATTTGGTAGCGAAGTTATACCCTTCAGCTCCATAAAAGATAGTATATTTACTTCCTAGTACTGTCTATTATCTGAAATAAATAATAAGATGTCAAAAAAAAAAGTAGTGCCTTATACTGGTGAGCCAGAAAAGAGCAGTTTTTTCCGAAACAATGTTGGACTAAATATTATATTGTTGACTAGTGCGAAATCCAGACATCTAGGCCACAGGGCTCTTAGCTGTTCCTCATACTTCCTGAACTTAAATGATACAAATTGTCACTTGTTCTGTGCTACTGATACTCCGACAAGTGAGCAAAACCATCTTCATCAAATGAATAGCAGTTGCAGGTGCTTTTAGTCCTCTAGACACTTTGCATAATCATTAATTTAAAAAAATGATATGTTCTTTAAAACGCTGATAAGACCGTGCCCTTTCTAAGACTGCTTATTTTATCTGTTAAATTTTAGTTTGAACTGGCACGCAACACTAAAATTTCTACACAAAAAAGAATATTTTGTCTACGACAACCCGATAAAATTTAACTTTTTTGCTCCTACGATTTTAGTCGAGTGACGCTTGGTCTTCCTTGAGCAACCTGCTGATAGACTAAGCTGAGTGCAACAGACTACAACACATCGTACTCTTTGTTTACGGTGAGGAGCAAAGCGGTAGTACTGTAGAGGTATTGTGATCTGCTTATAATCTCAATGTTGTACTTTTAACTTTTAACTCAGCCCTCTCTTGTTCATTACACTTTTTAGAGACTAACCAACAAAAATTTTGTTTTTAGCTTTTTTTTCTTATTTCTTCAACTCTATTTTACAAACTTCTCCTTGAGGCCGGAAAATTGATAATTTTTCGGAAGAACAGTGAGCTAAGTATTGTATTTTTTATATTATTTTGTTGCTCGCGGTTCTTGGTTTCCAGCAGTTATTTAAGCGCTGTACAGCATAAAACAAAAAATCTTTATCGCCTTAGTTACTGGTCAAAGTAAGGAGAGAAACAAAACTGCAAGTTTCATTGGACATTGTTGAAAAATTTGTGTCTGCCAATCACTGCGCAGGGTTGCTTTCCAGCAGCCCAGTCGGGATAATAATCCACAGTGCAGAAGTGTCGTGATCCGTGGGTTGGATCACTGGTTCTTCCAGCAATCACGTCTGAAGCGATCCGTTCACAGTCTGCTCGTGCACCAGTTTCCGGCATTCCTCCTGCAGCAGCATACCCCTCGAACTGAAACGCTCTGCTGGCTTCAGCTTGGATACTTGTGCCGTTCGATCTGGCTCTATTCAGCACCACGTGAGCGACTGCTACCTTCCCCTCGTATGGTTCCCCCCTCGCTTCTCCATATATTACTTTAGTAAGCGCTAGCAAGTCACTTTCAGCCATCCCAACAACAGCCTAAATTATAAAATGTAGCAGTATATGCTCAGGAAACATGTAGCAAATTTTAATTTAAATAACTATTAATTAAACAGAGCTGCAGAACCCGCTATTACACATCGCTAAAACAAATTAACTCTATAATACATAATTTGTAGAAACGAAATATAATGTATGATTATATAATTATAGGTTGGCACCACAGCAACTTTAGCAATTCATATTGAGCTCTTCGTATAAACCGCTGTTCGCTGGATTATTTTGTATGAACAGTATGTGTTTAACAACAGAACAAGAATGAATATTGAATTCAAATGAAATGGAAGTGAACAACGCATAAAGTTTAGTTTGTAAGTAATTTTACCTAATTCTACCTTGTTCCTAGCCCCGTTTGACAGACGTTTACAGAATAAAATTCTTCAAAACTTTCCCCCGTAAAACAAGCGAAAAACAAAAAAATTTGACAGGTTGCTTATGATTTATTTGGTAAGGAAATTGCATTTTCAGGCATGGGATTTCACGTTTTGCGAATTGATTTTTTTCAATTAAATACTGTCTATCCAATCAAGGATCGTTATTTATGAATGAACACCTAAACAGTCATTTATTGGCAAATAAACATATACAATTTAGTTGACTGTTAGCTAGCCTTAACCATTAAGATTATAATTTTAAATGAAACAAAGAAAAAACACTAGTCAGAGTGATTTTCTACAGAAGATTGAGTGATAAGCTAGATCTGTAAGAAGCTCAGGTATGACGTATTGATATTTTAAATGGGACTTCATTTGGCGTCTTAATTTAGCAAATTTGTATTCTTCGTGGAAATTTGTTTTGCAGCGGAACACATAACACATGTTCGAATTCCTACTGATTTTTGTCAATTCCTTTCACTTTTCGTCTGAACTGTTGTTCAGATGAAAATTTGAAATGACGAGTAGACAGAAAGCAGAAAATTTTGTTAGATTGTTCATATTTAATCTATTACATGATAAATGTGACGTTCAAAAAAAGAGAAAGTGCTAACGGTATTTCCCAGTAACTACTTCTTTGACATAAATCACCCTAATACTTTGTCCTAGCAAAGTAAAGCTCACTAATGACAGGTTATTTTCTAATAAAAAATTGCTAGTGTAAAATGCAACTAACCGGAAATAACTTCTAGCTAAGAAACGTTTTAGGCAACAGCGAATTTTAATGTCTCTTCTTAAAGCCGATGAAGCCGTCATCTTACGAAGGTAATTTAAAACGTTGAACAAAGACGTTTAAAGTGATAGAAAATAATGAGTGCGGAGAAGTTTAAGGAAAAATCTTGGTAGTCGTTTGTTTGTTGGATTTTATCTCCAACATTAAGAAGCGTACCGCTGAAACGAAAACGATGGAAGCAGCAAGGAATTTTCGTACGCCAAATGAAATGTATTAAATAGTCGAGCAGTATTTTTAAAATAATTTGCAGATATGGTTTCCAATCAGTTTACTAAACAGTTGGAACTTCAAGTAGTTTCAGTTACACTGAGAAAGTCTCAAGACAAACTATTTTCTATCGCAAAACTGATGCTTACGTCAGATCTGAAGAGAAATGATTCAATCTAACGGAGACACGCATGCAATCACAAACTAACAAACTTTACCTTTACCATTCTGATAAAAACTGAAGAGATCTCTGAGCTTCTTTTTTTGTGTGAAATTCTTTATGTATTATTCAAGTCTTCAATTCTTGTTCGCCTTGTCCAGCTGAATCATATGCTGTTTTAAGAAGTCAAAAAGTTCCATATGATAAATTACAGCTTTACGCTTATTTTCTATACCATTATGAAACAAATCTCTACACAAGCCATAAAAAAAGCCTGTGTACTTTTGAACCTTATCATTCTTTTTTCGTTCCTTCTCTACTATCGACCACCTAAGTATCTGCCAGTTTTCTGTGTTTCTTTTCCAAGCAAAGTGAATTAGAAGTGAATTAGAGCTTGCAGTTTTTTAACTTTTAGGCCTAGAGGTAATAAAATTAACCGGGTATAGTAAATAATAATTTGTCTATTAGTTATTTTCAATTTTCTTCTTTCTTTTTGCCTTTTATTTATTTTATTATGAAAGTTCCTTTCTGCAAGTTCTCCGTCTTTAAAAGCGTAAAATAGAATTTAAAACTTTATACTGCTTTATTTGTTTTATTCCATTGCTAATGCGACTAAACTGAACAACTCTGAACAACCCTCTTTTTATTTGGTACTCTTATGCCCATTCTGAAGGCTCTCTTTTTGCGCAATTCTTCAACCAGCTGACAACTCGATTCACTGATTGAGGTTTTATTATGAAAAAATACTCAGACAGGCGCGATACCGGGCAGAACAAGAAAAGACCAAAACAAGACAGAAACTGCGGTAAAGACAGAAAAAAAACGTACTCAAGAAACGGATAAAAGAAAGAAAAAGGAAAAGAATCAACAAAATCAACAAATTACGCAATAATACTATGAAAAACACTGATTCCTACACCAAGAACTTGGATCGCAAAGCATGAGCCACAGAAAAATACACAGCACAGTTACAGAGAGTAACAAGGTTACACTTCACAACCCATGATTTCCTCCGGGAGTATACTGAAACATGCTTTGCCCGGTATTTAAGCAGGTTTCCTGGCGCCTGCCTAAACAAAGGTTCTTTGTCGAGCCCATGCGTCTTGCCAATTCCAACACATCAAGCAGTCTCTGACTGACGGATACAATGCCTACACCTGCTCTCTTGACAAAAGCTGTTGCACCGGTGCAATAACTGCCTACCACCGACCACCAGATGTACACCCACCTAAACCCTACTTTTCTTCCAAAACTTAGTTTCCGTAATTGATAAAATCCTTTTTTAGTTTAATATTATTTAAAACAAGTTATACCTTGTATATTTTGTACTTCGCGAAAACAGTGCACAGTACAGAATTATGAAAATGCTGTGAGGTCTGATCTGATAGAAAAACAGGTATTTGAGATAGGCATTTTTGTTGCCTGAACTGGCTGACTAAATTTACTTTTCATCAAAATTTAAAAGTCATCTAAAATTCCAGTTTCCAGATGCTCAAATTGATGCCTCATGACTGTTTTATACAGCATCTTTTGCGCAGTTGCTCAAACTTGAACACTTTCTTTACCACAACGTCTAAAAAAATTAGGAACTAGCTTAGCTTTTATCTGCTGTTCAATGCTTTTTTTCTCTTCTTGGCAATATCAAAAAAATTCTGTTATATTGCTATAAATTATCCTTATACCTTTGCCCTATTTTTACGGTAGCGTCTTTACAGAGAAGTACCATTCATCTTTATCCTACACTGCCTGCTATTTCACTGAGCCGCCAGACGACAAGCGTTATGTTTGTGGTGATAAACAAATTTGTCAAAAGAGTCAATGTGGTAGATCCAAGAAAAAAGTAATATTTAAGGCTCTAAATTAAATTCAGATGTCTTTTAACGAGTTCGCAGTTTCAAGTCAACTCAGTAATTCAGTGGCAAAAGCAGAAATTTGATATGTCGATGCTTAGGATGAGTAATTTATAGGAAGCGCTTGGAAAATTCAAAATTGACTAAATTTTGGATTAAATTGCATCTTAATCTTTATGCTTAGAGAGCCACTTTCGGGTTTCTTTCTGCTGATATGATACTTGACATTTTTGTACTGTCAAAATGTACACATACTATCAAAAATTACATCTTTGACTTCAGAAAAAATAGAGGAGTTGCAGACTGCTATAAAGGCTTTTGGCCGGAATACTTTGGAACACCTCGTCATCAAATTACCCCAAATTTCAGGTCATCTTTGCTACACGAACAGAATGAATTGAAATAGAAAAAATGAAGTGAGCAGCAGCTTTGTGATCTTTTCGCCAGATTGAAGCAAAATAACAAGTTGCAAACGTGTCTGCTAAAAAACAACCTTGCCGTAACAAATATCAAGAACATATAGGATATATACGACACATTTTTATGTATTCCGCTATATTTCAGAAAGGCGGTTTCATTTAGACTTAATATCACTTTCGTGAAAACTAGGAAAGACACAGCACCTAAAGGATAACTCCTTCATTAATTCTAAAATCGGACATTCTTGTTTAAACTTTTTTGCAACAAATTTTAGCTTTACTTTTTGGCTCTTCAAGAAAATATGTTTTTTAAAAAAATGGTTCCCGCAATACAATAAGCACTAAACATATCGACCACGTTTTGTCATATTAATCAGCTGACAACTCCACAATTCTGGAAACTTTATCTTGCATATTAAGTAGTTAGGTGGAATAGATACGTCTTTGTCAAATTCTGACCGATCAAAAAAAGAAAAGTGCATTTACCATCAAAATGTTAATCGCGTAATCATAAAAGCGGTGCGCTCTTTCTTTTATATGGCTGATAGAATCAGATGAAGATAGAATAGAAGACGGGAAACGAAAAGCAGCTTGTAAGTGAATATGAAACTTTTTTTCATTATTTTTGCATGTATATTTTCAATTTCGTAACCAAATTACAAAATGCGCCAGAAAATGATTGTAAACTTGTCAAGATTTTACAACGATAAAGCACGTTTTATTTTGCATCAAAAAACAACTACTGTAAGTCATTATATTTTTTAAACTGTATCCATTTCGTAACTGAGCAGAGAAAGCTTGCTGAAATTTAAAAGTAGCTGAGAAGGTCTTTTTTAATAACAAAACATTTGTTGAAAAAGAATTTTATAGCTAAAAAGCAGTTTCCTAATTTGTAATGGTACATTCAGAACGGCATTCAGAACGAATAGCCAAGTTTCTGTTTTGCAAGCCTTCTGTTGTCAATAAACCAGTACAGCATTTCTTACCACAGCTTCCATCATCGTACAGCACAATAAAGTAAGAAAATTATCGGGTGATAATAATAAAAAAGTTCTTTTTCAAAAAAAAGCATGTTTTTAGCGAAAACTAATGGAACTTTGAAGTGACACTTCACCTTCCTAAAAATTAATCTTTAAAAGCTGTAGGTCACACCTGTGTAAATCAATATTTTTTTCAGGCCATAGTCTTAATAGTAGCAAGAGCCATACTTTAGAATAGATTTCAGAAATCTACTTATAATAGTAATGTATGCTTTTAGAAATGTATGCTTTTTTCCAGAAGCAACTATACATTTCCGCTCGTTTGTTTTTGCAGTATATACCAGCTTCACTGGCAATCCATGCTCACGATTACCGTATCGCCTGATTGATTTCTTATGCAATGAGAGGAATGGTTAACTATAAATAGTTAATTGCACAGTTCCGTCCGCAATAAATCGCCTAAATATCTGTTGATTTATAGCATAACTGTTAGCCGCAGGCATTTAAAACTGAGTTGCAATTCAATGCCTGGTTTTTTACTTGTCAGTTTTTCTACTGACTGTCCTGTTCAGTTTTGTTGTTTTTGTATATAATGTTAAGCAAACTGTTTATAGTTATTGGCAGAAACAGTTGTTACAAAGGCAGTGCAGAATGACATGTTTCTTTTAAAACGACTGCTGGTTAATCTATGCGTATAAATATTATTCATTTTTCGTATATTTGCTACCCTTGTGTTATAAGAAGCTAGTCGATTCTTTTACTACGCCGGCAGTATCAGAAGCTTCTGAAGTAAAAGTCATAGGTAGTAGTCACTTTGTTTGATGTCAAGAACACTTGTATACAATACTGAGGTGGCTGTTAATGGTTGATCGCATTTTGAAAACTGTCTCCTCCCCTCAATGTAATGTGATCATCTGTGCGTTTGCAATTTTTGATGCCAATATATGTACGTACCGTAATCGAGTGTGAAAACACCACAGTTGGCAAATTGCCGAAGTTTTCGTCTTAGGTGTTTCCTTGACGTCGAATTGAATGAGGAATACAAGCTTTATAATTTTTTTCCTTTAAATCTTTTCCCCTAGGTGGTGTTTTTGTGCGTCTGTGTTGTAGTATCGTTTGGTGTTCTGACAGGTTCATCCTTTTTTGGGGTCACATCATCGAAAAACTGTTTTGGGGTACGTTGTAGAGGTTATGAGAATAATGTCGTTTTGAAATCAAGGAGTTTTCCTTTTGAACATTTTCATGAGCTACAAAATTGATGCTTTTGGAGTTACCGTTAGAGACAAATCCAAAACTGGCTTGGTTTTTTTGACTGCTTTAGTCTCTGAATTTTATTGACGGATGGTTACGCTATTTGTTAATTATTTGCAGCAATTTTCTTTTTTTTTTTTTTTTCTGGTGCAGTCGTGAAAGTTATTTCCTGTTCTCACTAGATGTTAAATTTTGCGACATGTTTTAGGGAGTCTGAAGATATTTTGACCGTTGTAATCATTTAATACCAGTATTCGAAGTGGTATTGTGGATGCACAAGTTTGTCGCAAATATCATTCTTATTCATCAAAGTACTGTCACACTACCATTTTGTTTTAGATTTTTTGAGTCCATGTATATTTGTATGGTTTTTTGATATTTATAAATCCGTTGCGCGCATTTTTAAAAATCTGATTTTGTTTTATTATATCATTTTTCTTTGATCTTTTTGTGATAAGTATAGAATGACGAACGTATTAAGTGTCTAAGATTGTAATTTTCATTGTTTAATTTGCCTTTTGGCCACTTCTAGACTTTAAGCTGGTCAGTTAACATTTCAACTATGTCAATAATATGTGACTGGAGTTGCCCCTGTAGTACAGTTAGCAAATTAAAATTGTACTGAAACATTTCATTTAAAATCTGGTCAGTACTTTTTATAAGTTTTACTGCTGTTTTTCATCTTTTGGTTCTTCTATGGCTTCAGAAGTGCTCCTGTACAGTTGTTATTTTAAAAAATTTCATTTCTTAACATTTCCAATTCTCTGTTATGAGACCGTACATAATTTAGTTGATAATTAACTATGAAACATTTGGTTTTGGCTGACTATGCTGACTCTTTGCTGTTCTAGGCTGCATTCTTCATACAAGTGATTATACGATGAAATTTTAAGAATCATCTCGTAAGCCGTCTTCTTAGTTCATTCACTTTTCAAAAAAAGTTATGGGTTTTCCTGCTGTACGCTGGGACTGACTATAATGGTTAAATCAGAAACATATTCTTTGTAGCTTTTGTAATGCAGTTTAAATTATCTTAGTACTTTTAATTATCTTAGTACTTTTAAAATACAACCTTTGGATGAAAAAAATTGATATAGTCTTTCTTTCGTTCTAGATGTTTGGTAAATTCAGAAATAGCGCAACTTGATATGTTTTGGAAAGAATTTTTGACTATTGAGAGCGAAAGATTCGGGAATTGACGGCCAGTCGTGGAGAAGAAGTAGACTTGTTTGAATGGGGGAATGATAAAATAAATTTGAAGAGCTGTAGATGTAAAAGTTAGAGGTCTTTTTATTTTTCAGGCTATTTTTTTTTTGGAAAGGTATATTTTGTATGATTAGCATGAAAATTGTATATTTTTGCAGACTATTATTTAGTATGGTTTGAGGACGAGTCTTGTTAAAAATGTGGTACTCCTGATGTAATCTTACCGTTTTGTGATATTTCATTTCTTCATTTATGCTTCAGTTTGACAGTACCAGAAACTTGGTTAGAAGTGTGGGTTAAGCGATTTGAAAGAGAATAAGTTCCATAAGAAGTATTCTCTCAAAGGATCCAGCGTTTATTTACTTACTGTAGCCATTAATTGGTAAATTTCTA